TATGTGTATGTGTAACTTTAGAAAAAATAAAATATAAATTAGACAAATGAGGCCCTGGAAGTGTACTGCTTGGGTACATTCCAGTTCCTAACACTTATTAATAGCATGATGTTGGGTAAATTATTTAATTTCCTCGACCATCACTTTCTTCATGTGAAAAATGAAAATAGCAATGGTACCTATGCTGTAGAGTAGTTGAGAGGATTAAATTAAGTAAAGCTTGTAAAGCTTAATCTAGCCCCTTGCCTGGTCTACATTCTGGCATTTGGGGGCTTCCTTTTGCTTTGCTTCTTGCCAATCGTGCTTATTTTATTCACTCAGTTTTTCCTTGGATTATCATATTACCATCACATTTCAGATAAGATTGGCTTCCCAGATATTATACCCAGTTCATTTTGCTTGGAATTCTCAGTGCTCTCAAATACATTGAAAGATTATACCAATATCTCGCTAAAGGTCAAAAGCATGTATGGCATGATCCCATCCTCATGAATATGAGGAATTCTTCCAGCATATATCTGGAATGCATTCACCATGCATTTACTCATAATCTGCATTTTCTTCTTTATTTTTTTTTTTGCAGTACACGGGCCTCTCACTGTTGTGGCCTCTCCCGTTGCAGAGCACAGGCTCCGGACGCGCAGGCTCAGCGGCCATGACTCATGGGTCCAGCCGCTCCGTGGCATGTGGGATCCTCCTGGACCGGGGCACGAACCCGTGTCCCCTGCCTTGGCAGGTGGACTCTAAACCACTGTGCCACCAGGAAAGCCCTTCTTTATTCTTTTTTTTTTTTTTCAGTACAATGGACACATGGTACTCTATAAAATCAGGGGAAAAATGGACTTATTTTAAAAACAACTCTTCTATCATAAGTTTACAGTTTCATGTGACTGTGTGAAGTCTAGGTTACTTATGTGCAATGTTCACTCCCTGCCCTATTCATATATACCAAGGTACAAAGTAGCTTTGGGTTTTATTTTCACATTTGCAGTCACTTGGGAATTTTATCAAGGCTGAGCAAGAGATTTGGAAACTCATAATGCATTTCTGAAGAAGCTGCAAGGGTTGTGAAATTCACCAGTCTCTAATCTTCCTGAGAGAATGGGAGCTGACTGGACAAGACAGCTCATTTCCAGTAATGTTCCTGGATAATTCTCTGGAAATAATGGAGAGGGCATGGTAATTGCAGCCCAGTTTTATGCTTTCAGTTAGGGCTGTATGCAGTGGAACACCCACAGAATTTTTTTCTCCCTCTGCCCCAGACATTCACTCAGCAAGCTACACTTGGAGCCGGGAGAGGCCATAAATAGTACAGCCCAGCCCAGTTCCCCGTGGGAACTCAAAAGATTCAAAAACTAAGTTAATGCCAGCGACTGGATACAGATCAAAGAGATAGAGTGAGACTGCCTTTTGTTTAACCCTTGGCTTAATCCTGTGATTAGCTGCGTGACCCACTTTTTTAGGTATTCCACTGCACTTGCCCACCCCTCACAACAATTAGTCAGAGGTCTTCCTCAGTCTGAGTGGTTTTAAGCCTTGATAAATTATGTCTCTGTGAGAGATAGTCTTCAGTCTGTGCTTAAAGACCCACGATCAACACTTAAGAAAATTATTTTGAAAAAGAAATTGCTATGAAATGAAACTGTTCTTAGAGCTGATTGGGACTAAAGGCATAGTCCCAAACACCCTTCATAAGTACCCATAAGCAACTTCTGAAGATGGTCTAATGCACTGATTAGAAGTTACTGATCCGTGAGCATGTCAATACTTAATGAACCATTAAGTAAAGTTAATTATTATAACAATGCAGAGTCAAAAAAATCCATCCTGGTCTTTGCTTTTCCCATGCATTCATAAGGGAGTGGGGGTTAAAATTGGGAAGGAGCGATGGTGGTGATTATATTCCAGAGACTACTCCGAGGCAAACTGAACTTTTACTGTGTATCAGTGCCTCCCTGTCCGTGGCAGTCTCTCTCCACCTAACAACGCATCCATAGAGCTCTCCCATTAAAATGTTGTCCTGTAAAGAATACGATAAAATCAGGCAAAATGATGTATAAAACCTGGTTCCGTTTACAGTGTTCCCTCTTGCAGGGATATTTTCATTTTAGTAGCTCTTAGGACAAATGAGAGAGTCTGGGATCAGGGTTTACTTTGGGGGAGGGACTAGAAGGGGAAGGAATGAGCTTCTTGTACACCCTTGCTTAAATCTGCAATGGACTGAACTTGAAAACAAGAATGCGTGTAAAGCTCTTAGCATAGTGGTTGGCACATAGTGAATGCTCAATAAATGTTAGCTAGTATTTTTACTGTAATTTTATCATATGGATCCTATCACTTAGCTCCTATCACCTAGGGCATTGACTGAACATTCATTGATAAGGGGGTGATAGAATCCACATTAAATAAACTGTTTGGGCCTTGCTCAGAGTCTGTTGGCTTCTGCTCTGGGCTGGTAACTAGAAAACAATGCCGTTAGCTTTCTTGACCCTTACTAATGGGATCCTGTGAAATAGCCAGGGGGTTACAATTTTACAAACTCTGACAGGAAAACTTTTCAAAGTTTTGGACACTTACAAGCTTCCCCAGAAGGGCCACAAACCTAGAGACTTTGCTGAGATGTCAACTTGAACTGAAAGGTTTCTGAGGCCAGTAAGTCAGTTGCTGTGCTGATGAACAAGGCCAGAAACTGCCTGGCATGTGTGTCTCAACTTCCTGATGTTGTTCTCAACTTGTTTCATAGGCAGTCAATGGTGTTATTATTTTGTGTGTGTGTGTCTCCCAGCTGCTAGTTCTGGCAATACAAGTGAAGCTCTAAGAAAATGATTGTTCTCAGCCAGGCAACAGAGTTTTGGTGTAAGTTAGTATGTGGAATGTATAATTTGGAAGTAGTTTCAGTCTATGACATGAATGAGTCTTTTATATCAAACAAACAAGAGATTAAAGTGTTTTAGTGAGCATTCCCGGTGCAAAAATTGTTCATCAAGTGAAAATGAAATTTTGGTGAAAGATGAAAAGGCAGAAATTTAGTCAATAGATATCTTCCCACACGTGAGAAATGACATATGTCTCGGCTTACACATTGCAGCATTGTTTGTAATATCAAAAGACTGGAAATAACTCAAATGTCCATCAATAGGGGATTAATCAAATAAATTACAGTACATCCATCAATGGAATATTATGAAGACCTATAAAAGAGTGAGCAAGATATGTAACACATAAAAAGATCACCAAGATATATTATAAAGGAAAAAAAGCAATGGGCAGAATATTGTAAAAAAGAGGTGGAGGGAAACAATATATACACATATTTACTTATAAAGGCACAGGTTATCTCTGGAACGATGCAGAAGAAAATGGAAACGGTGGTGGTAGAGGGGAATGGGAAACTGGGTGACTGGGGAACAGACATAGGAAAGAGGTCTCCCTAGAGACAATTTACCTTGAAAATTTTTAATCATGTGAACATGTTATTTTCTCAAAAATAAACTAGATTAATTTTTTACTTAAAAAGGAATTAAAGAAAAGGCAGTAATTTGTAGGGTGTGATTCTGTGCATAGGAAATGACATGTCTATCAATGGAACAGGAAGAAAGCCAAAAAGCTATTAATATATGAAATTTTTCTGTTTTTCTCAATTTTGTAAATTCAAAAGTTTCTAGAAATACCCTTGAGAAATGTCAAGCAATGACATTGTATGATGAAAATTTTTGGTCATTTATGATCAGTTAAATCTGTGTGTCAAATGGGAGAATAATAATGACAACTGTACTGTTTAATTAGGATTGTATATTTTTATGCTATGTCTTAAAAGACCCTTCATCACAAAATCATGTTTGTAGTGAATATGGTGATTGGTCTGTCAACATACACTTGACTCCACCTTTAAGATAAGCTGTCATATTGGGTGGCCAGTGGTGGCCAAGATTAGTTTAAACCCATCACCATGACCCCATCTCCTTTACCAATGTTTAATTGGTTGAGGGATGGGCAGCCTAAACCAAACTTGAAAAGGTTTTCTGTATGTATTAGTTTTCTATTTCTAGTCTACTAATTTATTGTTAGGTTATGTTTTCATAGCAACTATATTATTTAATGTTTTTCTTCATACGTGTTTTCAGTGATCATGGTACCCAGAGAATGGTCTCTGTAATGGAATTCCTTGATGGACAATAGGTCAGGGCAAGTGGAATTGACTCATTTTATAAAATACTTCCTCCAGGATGGGGCAGAGTCAGCAGATCCCCCAGCACCTGCCCAGCAGTACAGCTCTCCAAGTGTCTGCCCAACACTGAACCTCTCTCCCTGGGACAGCACTGCATATTGATTGACAAAGGTTCTATTCCAGAGGTTGGCACAGTTTTTCTGAAAAAGGTCAGATAGTAAATACTTTGGGCTCTGCAGACCGTGTGGTCTCTGTCACAACTGCTCAACACTGCCCTTGCTTGGAAGCAGCCATTGGCAATGGGTGTGGCACCATTCCAGCACCTTTTCATTTACCAAAACGAGTTTGGGGTCATAGCTTGCTGACCCCTGTTCTCTCTTTTTTTTTTTTTAATTCAATCTCCAAGCAGAAAATTCCATTTGGGGGATGATATCCAGGATAGGTTACATTTAATTAGAGTTATTTATATGTTGTGATGTGATAACCTGGCCTCCTATATTGGGTGGTAGAGACACAAACTCTGGAGTCAGAGAAACTAGGTTGGAATTTCAGTTCTGCTCTGCACTGTGTGGCCTGCAGCCTCTCTCTCCTACCTTTACTTTCCCAACTATGGACTGTGGATCAGAGTCCTATTTTAGAGGGGGTGTTGTAATGATTAAATGAAAGTGTATGTTAACCGCCTGACACAAAGAAAATAATCAAAAAATATTAGTTTCCCTTCCACCCCCACAAAAACACATGTGAACCGGGCAATACCCCATCTCATTCACATATATTTGCAAACGCTCTCTTAGATGGCTAATGGTGGAAATTAAAAATCAATTCTAATTACCTTTAGTTTCAGACGATGCTATTTTTTTAAAATCTGTCCTTAGTTTCTAGGAATCCATTTTGTTTGGTTCTTGCAACCTCTTGCATGTTAACAGCCAATCACGACCTGTCATCAAAGCATTCAAGCAAAGGCTTTAATTCTGATAATTCTGATAACTCCATAGGGAAGTAAAGGAAAGCTATAAAATATACTACTAGATTTTAAAGGGCCACTACTCAAAAGAGATCTTGTGAAAAGACTAACAATTTAGATTTTATTTGATGTTTGCTATGACCATGACTAGGCTTTTTAGAACTGGTTTTATTATTAAATTTCTTAAGGAATTCACTTTCAGTGCCATAAGCAGTGGATTGTAAAAACAATACTTCTTGAAATTATTCCCCTCTGATAAGTTTAATTTGAAAAATATACATGCATATATGAGGCAGTAGTAATAGGAAGTACTTTCATAGCAGGAGAGCGATTCTGTGTGTTTATTTACTTGTATAAACATACTCAGAAACCACAACGTTGAGTATATTTATCACATGCTTTTTTAGTTGGGGAATATTTAAGTCCTCCCATAATTAAAAAATACAAGTTAAAAAAATTTGCTTCCTCACTAGGGAAATGATTAGAATCAATGCTAACGTGGCTATTTAACATCTATAAAGCAACAGTATCATCAAAGAAATAATGTAGCGCAAAAGCAATATAATTTTGGAAAATAATAAGCATCCCAATAGATAAGAGATATTATTGTTTCAAGCATGAGAATTGAGAATAGGGTGACTTGGTCAAGGAGCTTTGTCCTTGACTTCTGGAATCAGAGCTCTTCAATACGTGACTCAATGAATTTATTTCTTGGTTCATTCATTCATTCATTCACCAACTAAGCATTTATTAAAACATCACCATTTGTGAAGTACTATGCTATGTACTAGGAACATAATTCATTTCAGAGACAGATGCATAAGGAGTTGATTACAATATGCTTTATAAGTGTTACTACAGAAACACAGACCAATAGCTAAGAGAGCAGTGCAGAGGGAAGAATTCATTTAAAAGATGGTAGACAAGAGTGCGGGGAGAGAAACGGTCAGAGACACTTCATAGAGAATGCAAACAGCATCCAGCCGAGGTATTTTTTTGAGGATGAAAAAACCAGAAATTCTAGACAGAGTGAAGACATGATGAAAATTTCAAAAGCATAAAAGTCCACTTAGCCTCTGAGTCCAGTTGTGAGTGGTTTGATATGACTGGAACGTGGCTCCATGTGGTGGGGGGAGGGGTGGGGTGGTCCATGCTATATTACAACTCTGGGTCCTTCAACCAGTTGGCCAGTGATCCCTTGGTCACCGTACTAATTTCCTCTCTAAAGTCTATGCTTTGAATGGCTGAAATCCCAGGTATGTTAGTGAGGAGGTTTCAGGTTACCAGGAGCCTCCGATTGTAAGCCTCCAGGTTACAGTCACGCCTCCGATCTTGGGTGATGGGAATTTACTATACGACGATACAAGAGGAAATTAGGAGGCAAGTATGGGAAGTCATTTTAATGGAGCAATCAGGCCTCATGGAGAGCACTGTTTATTGGTCTCTGGGATCATCTAGGAATTCTCATGTCCCAAAAGGAATACCGGGGTGGTCGTCACATAGAAGGATGTTTGTTCTTCCTGCACAAGATGTCCTTTTATTCATTTGATTCGGCTTCTTTGCTCTCTGCTTCTTCCTCCTGCTGTTGCTTCTGCCCTCTGGCTACTTCTCAATTTATCTCATGGATTCTATTTATGAATTGCTTCCACTAACCCATGGAGTCTGCTTAGTCTCTGTTTAGTTTCCTGGCTCATATTCTGCTTTGCTTCATGCATATCTCTCTGTGTGCTTTTATGTAGAAAAGAGTTAACAACAGGTCCAAGACTGCTATCTTTCTAAGACAGAAAGATCTGCTTGCAAGGTTGGCCCTTGACTGCCATCTGAGAATTTAGGTTTCAGTAGGGTTCTGACCATTTGCTAAATGATAAGCATGGCTCACTGTGCCTAAACTGTTTGTACCAACAATATGGTTTATGCTAAAAACCTGCTTTCCTTCTGACAGTCGGGAATTTGATATGTGTTAGGAAGAGGGTACCTATGTGACCCATCCTCAATAAAAACCTTGGGCACTGAGTCTGTAATGAGCTCCCTAGTAGAGAGCATTTCATACCTGTTGTCACAATCTGTTGCTGGAGGGATTAAGCACCTCCTGTGTGAGTCTACTGGAAGAGGACTCTTGGAAGCTTGCTTCCTCCAGACTTTGCCCTATACACCTTTTCCCTTTGCTGATTTTACTCTGTATTCTGTTGATGTCATAGCCTTAAGCATGACTATAAGCTGAGTCCTGTGAGTCCTTCTAGCAAATCGCTGAACCTGGGGTGATCTTGAGGAAACTTGACACATCTTTGCTTTCAGACTCCTGAAGAAAGAGTATCTTACTGACAATCCACTACTTGGTCCTTATTATGGTCTGGCCTCTGGCTACCTCTTCATCCTCATCTCCTACCACTCCTCCACTCCTTGTTCTAGTTATGCCTTGCTGTTCCTCAAACATTCCAAGCATGCTCCTGCTTCAAGGCCTTTGTATTTACTGTTCCCTCTGCCTGTGCCTTTTCTTCCAGATATCTGCATGGCTGTCTTCATTCATGTCCTACCTACCTAAAATAGCTATCCTCTCCCACTCACATTTCTTAACTGTCTACCCCTTCATCTAGATGAATTGTTCATATCAGTTATCAATTTTTTACTTTATATTGTTTGTTTATTGCCTATCTTTCCAAACTAGAGTATAACTAAATGAAGGCAGTGACATTGTCTGTTTTGTTCTCTGCTCTATTTTTAGTAGCTAGAAAGGTGCTTGGCACATAGAAAAGACTCAGTAAATAAATATGTTTGCAGAAGGAATGAATTAATAACGCATATCTGTTGGGCATATTTCTCATACCAGGCCACATTATATGCCCATGGGCAGCATACTGATGTCTGGCTTTAGGCTGAGCACTGTGGCAGAGACTGCTGATTATCCATCAATATCTACTCTTTCCTTCTTCTGTAGTAATAGAACCCCTAATTTTTGGCTGGGCACAGAGCTATCAGAAATAAAGAGTACAGTTCCCAATCCCCTGTGCTGATAGGTATAGCTCTGTAACTAAGTGCAGGCCAATGGGATATGAGTGGAAGTCAGATGTACAACATCTAGGAAGTATCATTATAAGAGTGGATTCTATTTTCCCTCCCTTTTTTCCTTCCTGCTGGGTGAAACAGACTGTAATATTTGGAGTTTTGGCAGCCATATTGGATCATGAGGCAAACTTGGTGATGGAAGGTATAGTCAATGGAGCAAAACAAGAAAGAAGAGGCCAGAGAATGTGGAGGCCAATACCAATTCTGAAGAACCTACCTCGTGACTTTAACAAGAATCAGAAATAAACTTCTGCTTTAAGTCCAGCCATATGGGGTTTTCTCTCACTTGAAGTTGGCTCTAATCCTAACTAATACAAGCACTAATCTCCAGTCTGACTTGAAGCCAGGTGGCGAGTTGCAAAGTACAAAGCATGATACCATATGAATTATTCACTTTCTTAAAAGGAAGTTGTGGGCATGATAGGAAAGCCAACACACAGAATGTCATCCTGTAGGAAATGTCAGCTGTGGAAAAGCATTATGGTAATGCCCCCCAGTGAATCACACCTTCCTGTGTCCACATACTTTTTTGCAATGTGATGTTGCTATTCCTTCCATGAAGAGGCAGAGCCTATCTCTCCACCCCCCTGAATCTGGGTTGGCCTTGTGACTGACTTGGACCAAAAGAATGTGATAGAAGTAACATAATGCCCGTTCCAGAGTCTAATCTGCAAAAGACTTTGCAGCTTCCACTTTCACCACCTGGAATCCTGAGATCACCAAGCTCTGAAGCCCAGTGTAGCTTACCAGAGGATGTGAAACCTTGTGGAGGGCAACAGAAGCACCCCAGTGCAGAGCCAGCACCAGCTGGCAGACATGTGAATGAGGCCACATGAGTGACTGCAGGCAAGGCAATCAGAAGTTACACCCAGATGGCCAGCCTACAGGATTGTGAAAATGAAATAACTGCTGTTTTAATTCACTAAATTTTGACAAGGTTTGTGATGCAGCAATAAGTACATGAAAACCTAAGTGAATATCTGTTTCTGGCTGCAGAAAGAGCCTACGACAAAGGCAAATATAAGTGAAAAGCACTTAATTAAGTTTGGTAACTTTTTAATTTTTTTGGGCCGTGCTTCACGGCTTGCGGGATCTTGGTTCCCGACCAGATCAAACCCCGGCCCTGGCAGTGAAAGTGCCGAGCCCTAATCACTGGACCACCAGGGAATTCCCAAGTTTGGTAACTTTTAAAGGGAAATATGAATGTTAGATGAGAAATTGGTAGAACTGGGTATGATTCTCTTTTCATTAACTAGTTTTATGACCTAGAAAAAGTTGCTTAGCCTCTTGGTGGCTCATTTTTCTCAGGTGTAATATGAAGCCCACCCCATGCTCACTCACTCATTCATTTACGAAACACTGATTACCCCTAACTGTTGGGAGATATTGTCATGAGAAGTGAAGTGATAGGAGACTTTGACTTTCTACTTACACATTTTCGTATGATTTGATTTAAAAAATATTATATTACTTTTATAATCAACAAAGATCATAAAGGTGTTATGGGCTGAATTTTGCCCCCCCAAAATTGATATGCTAAAGTCCTAATCCCCAGTAGCTCAGAATGTCACTGTTTTTGAAGATAGGGCCTTTAAAGAGACAAGTTAAAATGTGGTTGTTAGGGTCCTAATCCAGTCTGACTGGTACGAAGCAGGATATTAACCCAATCTGACCAGTGTCCTTATAAGAAGAGGAAATTTGGGTGTATGGACACCAGGGATCCATGTGCACAGAGGAAGGACCATGTGAGGACACAGTGAGAAGGTAGCCATCTGGAAGCCAAGGAGAAAGGCCTCAGAAGAAACAAATCCTGCTGACATTTTGATCTTGGGTTTATAGACTCTGTAACTGTGAGAAAATAAACTTCTGCTGTTTAAACCACCCAGTCTGTAGTATTTTGTTAGGGTAGC